ATCTGGTGTAATACATTGGGAAGCTATACTGATAAAAGTAAAACAATTATGATAGTCAAAACAAGTCATGGAACATAAAAAAAATGACCAAAAGAAATCGTCATTAATAGATTGTTAAAATTACAATACAACGTAAAAAAAAAACTTTCAGTTTAAAACCTGCCTTTATTCAACATTATATAAATAATCAGGGCCAGCGTGTGCCTATAGGTGAACTAGACAGCCGCCTAGGGTGGCAGCACAGTCAGGGTGGCAAAAAGGAGAGAGATTACATTTTTCTTTTAATGAATCTTTCTTTTCACTGGGTCTCATAAAGCACTTTGATCAGCCGCCCCTCGTCTAACGAGCAGTTCGATCTTTTTAGGCAGATCAGAGGAGAATGCTGTCACTGATGATTCCATATCACTGACAGCTTCAGATTTGGAGGATCGGGCATGCTCCAGAGAGGACCCTAACACCCTTCTCCCCAATGGGTTATTATGGGCTGGCGGAGAGAGAACTGATTCGCATTCTCACCAGGCTGTGGAGAATCTCGGCTTAGAATGGTTGGCAATAGAAGAGCCTGCCCTTTACCATTTAGACGAATGATGTCCGCTGGGCTGTCATCAACGAATCTCTCGCCAGAGACAGATGCCGTTTTTCCCAGAAGTTCACAATGAACTCACCAAGGTGTGGCGCACCCCTACTCGGCACGTGTCCACTTTTATTATTCTGCTGCCCTCATCTCTGTTGACGGCGCTGAAGTAAGAGGGTATGGCAAGCTCCACCCCCCAAGAAGAGGCGGTCGCTGCACACCTCTACCCGCCATCTGCCTGGCAGATTTGCAAAGAGATTCACTGCAGCACAGAATTCATCGCAGGTCATGCATCACTTCCTGCCTAAGCGCTCCAGCCCCCAAGAATGAGGCTGCTCACCCCAGTTCGCTCTCAGGCCACCTCGCTTCAGAGGCATTATTCAAACTTCGGTACAGGACAACAATGCTTATGTTCTCCGGTCTGAAGTGCAAAGTCTGCTTGCAAAAGGAACGGTGGAAACGGTTCCTCTAGCGAACAGCGAGTCAGGCTTTTACATCTGCTACTTCCTCGCTCCCAAGAAATATGGCTGGCCCAGGCATCTGAACTGTGCGGTTATGAGAAGTGCATGGGCGCGGCTCCTTCCCCTGAGACAGATGGGAATCCGCATTGTGAATTACCTATACGACTGGCTGGTCTTAGCCAGGTCTGAACAGGAACTCACAGGTCAATGTGTCAGGAGCGGCTTGGGCTAAAATTCTATTTAGCCAAGAGCTTTCTGTCTCCCAGCCAGTGAGTAGTCTTTCTGGGGACAGTTATTGATTCTGCCTAGATGCGGGCATGGATTACGCCGGAACGCTCCCTGACAATTCAGCGGCTAGCTGCCTCATTCAGACTCGGGACTTCATGTCCCCTCAGGGCTTTCCAGAGGATACTTGGCCTCATGTCAGCCGCTTTCTCTGTGATTCCTGTATTGGCTCAAGCCCATGTCCAGTCCAAAGCTTGGCGCCTGGTACATTTTCATCTCAGGGTAACCCACCACTGGATCAGAGCTGTGGCCCCTTGGAAAACCCCTCGCCTGTTTCAATCAGGCATCCCATTGGGACTGACCTCCAGAAGGAAGGTGGTCATGACAGATGCTTCCAACTTGGGTTGGGGAGCTCTGTACAAGGGCAGACAGGTGTTCAAGCTCCTGGTCAAACCTGGAGCAATGCTTACACATCAACTGCCTTGAGATAATGGCGTTTTTTTCAAGCCCTCAAAACCTTCCTACCGGCATTAAAGGGGCACCATGTCCTGGTCCATTCAGACAACATGACGGTGGTAGCCTTTATCAATCACCAAGGCGGTCTTAGGTCACGCTCCCTTCATGGTTAGCTCGACGCCTCCTTTTATGGGCACAAGGCAAACTCCTCTCGTTGAGAGTTGTTCATGTGCCTGGCAGACTGAACCACGGGGCAGACATGCTGTCCAGGGGCAATGTGGCTCCAGGAGAATGGAGGCTTCATCCCCAAATGGCTCAAATGATCTGGTCTGAAAGACAACTTTCACTGCCCAATTTATTTCTCTAAGCTGTGAGATGCCCTGGCCCATGACTGGCCCAGTGCTCGCCTGTAAGCCTTCCCCCGGTTACCCTGCTTCTTCAGGTCATCAGGGAAGTCAGATTCTCTTGTTGGCCCCACTCTGGAGGAATCAGACGTAGGTTCCCCGAGTTGATTCAGCTGCTATCGGCAGCCCTGTGGCCGACACCACTGACAAAGGGCCTTCTCTCGCAAGCAAAGGGCATGATTTGGCATCCCCTGCCAGAGCTGTGGAGCCTTCATGTTTGGCCCCTCGACGGGAGCCTTTATAGCACCCTGCGAGTTTAACTAACACCATTTAACTAACACCATATAAGTAGCCTACCAGATATGGGTGTCATGTCATTAAATATATTTTATAAGATTAAATTTGTATTTAACGGGAGCTCAATTAAATAAAACAATCTAAGTTACTAATTATAATCCTTTCATTTCCATGGTTATACAAACAGCGAATAAATCATACTGTAGCAAAACAGAAAGCGAGCAAAGAACATATACTTTATCAGATAACATTATCAATGACTTAAGGCTAGCGCAAGTTTAAGCACTCTCAAACACTGTGAAATGAATCTCTTACTTATATCGTAGGTACATCTGCACTTTGTTGTTTATGATGAGAGAATTTGCGATGAGATGAGAGAGGCGTTTCAGCGATGGCTGAACACCTCTGGTTGGTCATTGCATTCATAATGTAAGCCCTTCATAAGGGGAGGGGCGATGGTAGTAGCGCCCGTAATGTTGTCCTCACATCTCATTGGGGGAAAGAAATTAACACCTGTGCTGCATTTGTAAGGAAATGGATAAATATGATGTCTGCTGTTGTGAGGGGGGTCTTTTGTATGTGAGTGCTGCTGAGCTTCTTGCCGAGGCTGCCATGCCGGGATGTGGGCTGGATGTTTCCTTGCGACGTGTGCGAAGCTATTGGGAGGGACAGTTTGTAGTTGTGGGTTTTCCCTAACTAAAGTTTGGCGGCTGCCGGAGGTTTTCCCGAACGCTGTACCCCACGTCCGGCAGCGGGTAAGAAGGCCAGCAGTACATTATTTGCTCTTATGGTTTATTGAATTGTAGCTAGATTGGGCGCATCTGATTCGCCGGGGGGGCCTGGTTTAATGTGAATGTTTGATTTTTACTGGTGTTGTGCCTAATTCTTACTCCCTGCCAGATTATTACCCCCTAGTATTGGTAGGTTTAGGATTAGGTGTGGGGGAGGGGTTATGATTAGGGGTGGGGTTAGGATTAGGCAATCAGATAGCGGCTTCAACGAGGGGGGTAATAATTTGGCAGGGGCTCGAAATTGGGCACAACATCGGCCTTCCGGCGCTTGTTGTGTGTTTGTGAGTGTGCGTGAACAGGGGGGTGTTAGGGCAGGTTACTATTATTATTATTATTCATGTGCCATTTTTATGTTGTACATTGACGACAGCTAAGTATTTAGCCAGAGTGGTCTCAGTGGCATGTATTGTGTGATTTTTGGTGTGTCTCTATTGATGTGTGTTATTTAATTGATGCACTTACAGATATTTATGTCTTTGGAGTTTGCTGTGTAATGAAAGCGTGTATAATTGGTGGGCACATGAATTAATTCAATGTGAATATAGTAACCTTTGAAACCCTCTGCTGAATATTTCTCTGTTCGTTAATTGCTCAGATGTCCTGGATAGTTTGTGAATTGTCACGATGCTCAAATGATGCAAAACGCTGTAAAAACGCCTAAAACTAAATATGATGCAACATGAGCATATCTAAATTTAATGCTGCAATCAACACTTTTCATTTCATTTTCACTTTATTCGTGTCACCCGTAATAGTTTAATTTTACAGGGGCACTTTTGTTCAGTTTGGTGGCATTTTTGCCCCAAGCTCCCATTATTTCCGACCCGTGGCCAGGAAGGCTAATATGGGAGGAAAAGTCATGTGGCTCACCTTATTGCATGCATAATAGCCTATATGTATAATATTTATACATGCCATATATTAATATTTATAACCAATATGAATAGCTGTGCATGCGCAAGAGACGGGTGTACTTCGGCTGAACGAGCACCGGTTGCACCACTTTCCGTGTGTCCTGAACAGCCTTGAGCTGGCCACCGGGAATTCATATACCTGTGCATATACTTATTGAATAATAGCCTATAATACAGAATTTGCATTTGCAGCAGTGGTTGCGTGCTGTTTTTTTTTTTATTGCAGTATGAAAAAATAAGAAAACTCCTATGTAGGGTGAATTGCCCTAAAGTGGAACACCTAAGGTCTAGTGTTTGTAGCTCCCCCATAAATACATGAATGCCAGTGAAACTATGGGTTAGCCAAAGCTGTGGTATCATGTCATCAAAATCACATGACCTCTCAAATGTCCAGTCATATTTGAGGGCAGAGCAATCATCAGACAGGAAGCACATTGTGTGAAGACCCCCCAAAGGTCAGTGACATAGAGTTTTGACAAACTTGATATTAAGGAGTATAAATTAATTTTAAACAAAATAGTCCTGCTACTTTTTGGTCTAATGTGCTTATGAAATGTTTGTCCATCAAAATGTAGTATAACTTTGTATGTATAAACTATATATTTTATATGTTTATCAAATTTCCTAGTGTCCCACTTTAGGAAATGTGGTTTTCGAAAAGTGGGACAGTATGATTAGCCTAATGTGGGACAGTACTTCAGTCAGTCAAAAATGTGTGGTGGGGCATGGTTTGTGGGACAAACATGGTTATTATATATATATATATATATATATATATATTATGCAATATTAGTTCATCCTGAAATAGCAGCGACACATTCCTAGATTGCATTTGTCTACATACACAGCTAAGTGAGCTACTGCAACAAAACCATAAGAGATGCACAGCTGGAACTGCAGAATTTTAAGATGGAACATTAAATGGTAAAATGGCTGAAAATAAAATGTTTTTAAAAAACCAAGCAATCATGTGACACTTGTAGAAAATGTATAGTGACATAAGTATAGTAAAGGGAGTATAGGCAGTGCAAAGAGTGCCTTAAGTGAGGTTCACATCACATCTAATCATACAATCTAGTCCAAATCTCTCACATATTACATGAGGCACTTTTAAACTGTAAAAAAAAGTGCATTTGAGATCAGGCAGTAGCACCACTTGTTTATGAGGTCACTTTTATCAGCTGGTTTCTCACTTCCTCCTCCTTCCGCAGTATTTGCCTTGGCATCCTGCGGCCCCTACAGGAAAAGACACTGTCAGTACTGATAACAGTCTGTCATGTTTACACTCTTTTTATTCGAACTACAACCAGTTTTAGAATCACTGAGAAACTATTATACTTTTTATTAATATTTTGAATTTGTTTTTATTTTTATACTTTCTGTTTCCATTTTAATTTCAGTTAAAGTTTTAGTAATTTAGTTGTTTTTGCCTTTTTTAGTTGTCTATATTTTTGTTCATTTTTATTTCAGTTTTAGTTATTTTAGTACATCAAGTTAAACTAAATAAAAATCAGGAATGTTTCCTTGGCTATTAGAAAAAGAAGTTTAATAAGTAAGGAAAAAACAGTAAGTTTTTATTTTTTATTTTACTGTATTTTATTTCAATTAAAGTTTATTTTATTTCAAGTAACA